GGAACTACAGCCCTGCATTCCCTTCTCAGAGGCCCCGCCCTGCCTGTCATCACAGACGAAGGCGGAAGGGCTCACCCCAGGCTCCTCTCAGGCTTCTACTGTCCCCCTGCTGACCCTCAGCCTAGAATTTCATCTCCCACTCACTCTGTTCTGGCTTTTCCCCACCCACGCCTTCAGGAGCCTTTCCTGATCCCCGGGCTGCAATGGGTGCCTGTCTCTGTCCCTGCCCAGCACACCCGGGGACGTGCCCCTCCGGAGAGGAGACTGAAGAGGGCACAGATGTCACAGGCCTTTGCTGCAAACCTCCAGAGGCAGGAGGCCCAGCCTGGTAGAGGGGAAGGTCATCCGGAACAGGCCCTGCCAGCGCCTCGACAGTACGCCCACCAGCCCTGCTTCCGCACCAGACCCCGGGCCTGCCCCAGGGCCTCAGGGATGAGCTGTGGTTTCTTACCCATCTTGACTGCCCAAAGCCCGACTCAATCAGAAGACATGACAGTGAAAAACAGCCCTATTTGAGTCTCTGAAAACTCGAGCCTGAGGGTGCTGCCCGCCACCCCCTTCGGAGGGAGCAGTGACCCAGGCTGCTTCTCCACCAGCTGGAGCCGGACCCTCCCTTCCGGGGTGTCTGGCACTGAGCAGGAGAGCCAGCAGGGCTGTCTGCCGTGGCCCTTCCCCGGGAGGGGGTGTGAGCACCCGCTGGCTCACAGCATGCAGGGTGCTGCGTGCTGCCGGGGAGCCCTGGAGGGCCGGGTGGGGGCATCCTGGGAGACCCGGGCGGGCCCAGGGGGCCAGTCCAGCAGCTGCCCCCCTCCTCCTCTGGCCACAGTTCCATCCAGCGCCCTGGGAGGTGGGCGCCCCTGCAGACCCCCGGGAGGCCTGCTCCAGGGACGTCAGGAGGCCAGACAAGCAGACCTGCCCCCAGCAGGGAGGGGCCCGGGCCGGGCTCAGCCAGGCCCCGTCCTGAGCAGTATTCTCTCCCAAGCGTGAGCGAGTGGGGAAGCCAGGGGCACGGAGACGGGCAGCAGCCCGGGGGCTCGCCTTTACCTTATCAGATCCGGTCTCCAGCTGCTGCCTCTGCTCCAGGCAGATCTGCCCCACGCGGGCCAGCAGGTCATGAGGGGGGATGAAGACCCGGGAGCTCAAGAGAAACGTGAAGATGTACGTCCTCTGAAGGAAAGAGACAGAGGGTGAAGAGTGAGTCGGGCCCGGCGTGGCCCCCAGGGATAGCCGTGGCCTGCTCCTTCGCCTGGTCCCCGCCTCCCGGGCCCAGTGTCACCTTCTGCGTGGTTTACCTCACCTCGAATGCCCTTCCTCCTCTCTCACTGCTCCCAAATCCTGCCCACCGTGCAAGGCACAGATCAAACCCCACTTTGCAGCAGCTCTCAGAGGCGTCCCTGACAAGCTCCGTCCCAGTGGTTTTACTCGGCTGGGACGCTCCCCTACCCCACGCCGGGAGCTAAACCCGGACCTGGATGTTGGCGTTATCTCCGGGCCTGTGTGGGCCTGTGGCCTGGCCCACGGTGCTCCCCGGGCCAGGCGCCCAGCCTGCTCTGTGCCAGATCCTGACTGCTCAGTGGGGCAGGGCCTGGCTGGGGGGCGGTGGGGGCCTCCTTGGCCCCAGGACCCCACATCAGGAGCTGCTGCAAGCCGCTGTGTGGTCACTAGCCAGCTGTGGGCCCCGTCCCCACCTGCCACACCAGGGCCCCGCAGTCCCAAGGCCGCATGTCCTCGTCACCTGGTCCGGGCTGAAAGGCGGCAAGGAGCAGAGCCCAGGGCTCTTGGAAGCTTTTGGCTGATGTGGGATTTACCAGGCCCTTGCCTGCAGACAGGGCGGACTTGGGGGTGGGGAGGCTGCTTGGGGTCTCCCGGGGACTCGACTCAGACAATGATCTACTGCCACATGGCTGCTGCAGGCGGGGGGCCCAGGACCCTCGGCCTCCACTCCAGGCCCAAAGGAGCAGGTCTTCTGTGCTCCAGCCTAACGCAGCCTCCCAGATCGGGACTCGGCCCTCAGGCCCTCCCTGCCCCGATGCAGCCCTCAGAGGCCGCTGGGGAGGCTCTCCCTGGAGCAGCAGGGTGTCCCTGGGCTGTGCAGCACGGGTGCTGCAGGGGCCCGGCCCGTCAGTGGTGGGAACTTCAGGGGCCCCTCCGGAGCAGAAGGCTCAGAGCGTGAAGGAAGGCCGCAGCTGTTACACCCCGGAGCTCTCAGCCAGGGGCAGAGGAGAGCCCAAGGCAGGAGCTGCGCGGCTCCGGGGAGGAGCAGGGAGACAGACGGAGCGCCGTGTCCCCAGCCACCCACGTCTGCAGGGCACGGGCCGTGAGGGAAAGGCGGGGAGCCCAGGTGCTCGGCAGCCGGGCTGATGCCTAGCTGGACCCCTGTTCGACCTCCGCTGCCCCTTGGCTCTCTCCTGGGAAGCAGGCTGGGACCCCAGGACACAGTACTCTGGGGACAACACCGGGTGAGCTGGCTGAGGCTCCCCGGGGACAGGCCTGAAGGAGGGGAGGCCTCTCCCCCTGCCACACCAGGCCACTGTCGCACAGACCAGCACTGGAGTTGGAGGTCCCAGCCCCTGGGGGACCGCGGCCCTGCTCCAGACGTCTCCAGGGCCTGGGGTCCCCTCTCCCCGGCTCTGCAGCCTGGCCCTCAGCTGCCACATTGGCACCACCAGCCCCAGCCAGGCCCTGAGAGGATTTCCGGGGTGGATGGAAGGACAGATAGAGGAGTGGACAGAGCCCCAGAAGGGAGGGAGAAGGCCTGACGTGTCTGGGGGCGGGGGGTGGCCAGGAGCCCCGGAAACCCAGCTGGAGGGCAGAGGGGGCAATTCCTCCCCACCCTCCCTCGCAGCCCCGTCTGTCGCCTGGAGGCCATGCGCAGGGCCCTGCCCTCAGGAGGGAGGCGGCACCCATAGGGGAGCAGGTAACAGCCCCACTGCCACTATGAGACGTCATCTACTGGAGGCGGAAGGGAGGCCACACGTGACAAGGGAACTCTCTCTCGCTCTTC